CTGTGTTTGCTCCTCCACACCACCAGCGCGGTCATCAGCAGGGTGATGAGGATGGGCAGCAGGATGAAGGGGCAGAGGACGCCGTTGGGGGGGTCGCGGAGTGCCCGGCCGGAGGGGGAGCAGTTCCTGAAGTACTGCTTGTGGACGGCCACGAAGAACTCGTCCACCAGGCGGTTGGGCCAGTAGCAGTCGAGCCTCTCGGCGATCAGCGCCGTGCAGTTCGTCAGCTCCCCGTAGGTGCTGCAACACAGACAGGGCACCAGGGTGGCACCGGGGACCAGCGCCCGGCCACCTCCCCCCCCAGATTGTACAAAATATCAGGTGCTTTCTATCATACATGGGTACTGGTTATTTAAGACTGTTAGGTGAGTTATTTGAATTTTTTTAAGGTATTTTTTTGAGACTGTAGGTAGATCCGTATAAAAAGATACGTGGGGATTTTTTAATTCTCATCAGGTTTTGCCACTTTGAGCTCACTTTAAGTGCTCACCCACAGCCAAAAGCACAAGAAGTTTTCACAGAATCACAGGAGGTGTGGTGGTCTATAATAGAATCCTAGAATGGTTTGGGTCGGAAGGGACCTCAAAGATCATCTAGTTCCAACCCCCCTGCCATGGGCAGGGACACCCTCCACTACACCAGGTTGCCCAAAGCCTCATCCAACCTGGCCTTGAACACCTCCAGGGATGAGGCAGCCACAACTTCTCTGGGCAACCCGTGCCAGTGCCTCACCACCCTCTGAGTGAAAAATTTCTTCCTTATATCCAATCTAAATCTCCCCTCTTTCAGTTTAAATCCATTGCCCCTTGTCCTATCACTACACGCCCTTGTAAAAAGCCCCTCTCCAGCTTTCCTGTAGGCCCCCTTTAAGTACTGGAAAGCTGCAATAAGATCACCCCAGAGCCTTCTCTTCTCCCAACAGCCCCAACTCTCTCAGCCTGTCTTCACAGGAGAGGTGCTCCAGCCCTTGGATCATCTTCGTGGCCCTCTTCATTTACAGAAGGGAATTACTAGAAGCAAGTTTGGTCTTTTTTCTTTTTCTTGGTTTGTGTTAATTTTTGCAGGATTTCACAGCCAGACCAGTACTACTAGAAAATACTGGTTGGTCCCAAGTAACTCTCTGGAATATTTAGGCAAAGACCTTCAGGAAGCCCATCCTGAGCCATGGAGCAGCTCACTTGGCTGCTGGCCTTCGGCGCACCCTCCTTTAGCTTGCGTGAGCACAGATGTCCCAAAAGGGCTCTTACCATTGAATCTACTCACAATTGCCTAAAAATAAGGCAATTTTTTTGAACCAATAGCTTTTGAAGCTCATCTCTCTGCATTTTGCAGTGCCAGGCTTTGTAGGTATGCAGGACCACAACCCATCCCACCTCTCACTGGCCAGCAAGTCCATTTTCTGAGGATTTTTTTTTTTTTTTCCCCCCCAAATATTTGGAAAACGAGGAGCAGCCCTGAGCAAAAGGCACTGCAAGAAGAGGACAACCCCCTGCGCCGGGCCAACCGCCCACCCTCTGGAAGGACAGGTATTACCGTGGGTTCCAAATCCCACCTGCTTTAGGATTGGCTATGCATAAAAAAATATGTATATATAATTCATTTTTTTGTCTATCCCAATTACTCACGGCTAATCCTAGAGAAGCAGAACTAACCAAAACGTGACTATTCCATTAAAAACCCACCTGAGGGAAGAAATGGTTTATAAGCAGCTTCCCAGCTACTCGCCACAGCCTCTCTGCACCTCATCAGCTGGGCTGTCGGGCACATGGCCGCTGCCC